GCAAGTGGTTGGTCTCCAGACCCCACAGGAGACCTGGGAACTCCTGCCTGGGCCATCCTCAACCCTTCCACTCCTCTAGGTCTGGGAACTTCCACTCAAGTCTCATGATAACTCAGTTCGGCCACTGTCGTGGAGGCACTCAAGAAACCAGACAGGGACCCGCCCCTCCAGTGGCATCGCCGTCAAGAAACCCCCAGTGAGGTCTGGGCAGGTGGCCCTGCATACCTCCCAACCTTCCAGAGGGAGCAAAAGCCTAACTTTTAGAATCATGATAGAAGCTTACATGGTACATGATATCAGCTAAGTCAACTATAAAACCCCAGTCATGGTTCTTTTGTTTTGTTTTGTTTTGTTTTAAATGTAAACAACCCTCAACATTTCCCCAAAACGGGGAAATAAAAATTCATCATCATCATGACCAAGAAGGCCAAGAACCCATTTCCCCAGCCCTGTTTTAGACACATTTGCCTGGTCTCCCCTCCAGAGTCCACAGTGGTAAAGCCAGGGGGAGGGCTGTGAAGGTGTTGAGGGTTTGCCCAGATTTGCTACATTTCTATAGGCAATGGAGCCTGGGGTTGGGGGGTGAAGGGCGATTCCCCCCACCTGCCTTTCCTGTCCTCACATCATTGCTGCAGAGGGGCTGACCTCTGCAGATTTCTGGACATTTTGGGAAAGAGTTAAGCTGGTTTATTTTTGGACTCAGAGGATCACAGAATGAGAACTGAAGTGACTTTGGAGGTGGTCCAGGGTGACCATTTCCTTAATGAGCAGAATGAGAAATGGGGAGCCCGCTGCACTCTCTGTAGGGTTTCTGTGATCTGTGGCAATTGTCTCTTTACAAATACATCTGTTTAGGCTCTTAGGCTCAGCATCCTCTGTCAAGTGGTGTTAGGGGCCTCTCTGTTAATTTAGCTCGCACGGCCCACGTTCCAGACCCTGATGAGCACCATTTGCTCATGATGAGATTCTCCCCTTGTTGTGGTTACCTGACGAGGTCTATTTCTTGGTGCTAGACTCTCTTGAGTCTTTTCTGTTTGATGTTTTGCTTGGAATAGGCTGTAAAGATGTTCACTGAGGGTAGTTGGAGCAGCTCGAAGGGGTGCAAGGAGCAAGGACTTTGAAGCTAACAACAACAACAAACAACAACTGCTCTCAACCGAACTCTTAACTCATTCCTGGTGCTTTGCTAAGCGCCCCACAATTGCATCATCTCATCTCATGTTAGGCACACTGAAAGCAGCCCTTAGGAGACCGGCGCTGCTTGCACCTGCGTGCACGCACGAGGACACAGGTGCACAACCTGTTGCAGGTTATGTAAAGAGAAGGTGATGGAGACAGTGCTGGAATCACGGATGGCTCAGACTCAGGCTCCTATGTGCCACGCTGGCTTAGGTTCAAACCCCCAGTTGGCTAAAATCTACAATCAAATATTTTCTGATGGCTTATCGTGGCCAGGACACTTCATAACGGTCTGTTCTTGGTGAAGAAAATAAAAAGCAGCTCTGATTGTTTACCGCGTGAGTACTTTGCCTGGTTATTTTGAGGGTTAGGTATGAATGCAGTGCCTGCCAGAATGGACATTCAATAAACAATAGCTGCTACTTGGGGGAATAACCTGTGGCAACCTTAAGTGTCTTCTGGCATTGGTGGAGATTTGGTTTAATTACCTCAGACTGTTGGTTAAGGAGCCCTAAAAGCCCACTGAGCCCCCCGGCCTCTCAGGGCGGATGAGCGAATACACGATCTCTGAACGTGTCATCACCATCAGTAACAGAAAGCCACCTGTGCTTTCTTAGGAGATTATGTGCAGTACAGGGGAAAAAAACCCAGAATCCTGTATTTAATTGCTGGGGTTCTTTAATTAGGCAGGTGATATCAGGGTTAATGAATCATTAACACATAAAAAAGCAATTAGCTCATTGTTTCCATAATTTTATGCAATCAAGCAGAAAGCTGTCTCTTAGGGTAGTTGCACCTTAATAGAGTTTTGCAGATAATAATTTCTGTTGTTTTGTTTTTAAACTAGGTCAGTGGTTGTTGGTATTCATGGCTTTGATTTTTTGCCATCAGTATGCAGGTGTATAGAATCTTATATATAGTGTGACACGGCTGTAGGCATGTGCATTACCACTGTGCTCAATGACCTCACTTTTTCTGGGATTCTTCCTGGGGTATCAGAGCTGCTTATCACTCGCCATGACAGCATTTATTCAGTCATATTCACAACGTTCTTCTCAAACTCCTATGGACCACTCATTGTTCAGGCTCTCTGGGGATCCTTTGTCGAACATGACAATCAAGATCTCTGCTTCTCAGGAGGCTTACATTCCAATAGGGAGGAGTCAATAATAAGTAAATAAATAAACGCAAACATGCTAGACAGTATTAAATGCTAGATGGAAATAAATCAAGGGTGTGATTGGTCAGGGAGCACCTCTTGGAGGAGTTGCTTCTAAATGGACTTCTAAATGCAGGAAAGAGCAAGGTGTGCAGACATGGGAGAACATTCCAGGCTCAAGGTCTTGTGCAGGAACAAGCTTGATGTTTGAGAGCTGCAGGAATACATCCAGGGCTGTGGTGTGGGGAAGAAGGGAGGAGCGGGGATTTTAGTGGACGTGTCGCTATCTCCACTGCGTGGGCTCTGAGGCAGAGGGTGACCATTCTGACTGATGTTCACAAGGGAGGCTCTGCTCCCCGTGGGGGTGGGAGGACAAGCCGCGGAGAGATGGGGCCGCCTGACCTGCATGGCAGCCGTGGATGGGTCCAGGATACGGCTCTGAGGTAGAACTGAGAGATGCACTAATGGGTTAGTTGAGGGGTATAGGGGAGGAAAGGACTCACCAGTGTCTCCCAGATTCTGTGGTTGAACAAATGGGTCTGTGGTGGTGCCGCTTTCAGAGATGGGGATGTGTGGGGTAGCCAGCCAGCTGTGGGTGAAATCAGCAATTCTGTTTGAGCCTCAGTGAGATCGAGATGCCACACGGTCTGTCCATCTCTCTCCAGTCCCTCCCCTCCCCTCCTCTGTCTCTCCGCTTCTCTCTGTGTCTCTGCATGTGTTGTAATTGGATTGACTATTTATCACCATGTGGCAGGTGTGGTGTTGTGCCTTTTACCGCCCCCCCCCAAAGGTGTATCATCCCTGCTGCCAACATGAATGGTTTGCAGCTCAGAGGTGAAATCGGCCCCGCAAAGTGGTATGGACAGTGAGCGGCGGGTGTGGGATGGGAGCCCTGGTTGGTCCGCATCCACGGCCTGTGCTCTCCCACCCAGTGGGCTGCCTCCCGATTCGCTGTGCTCTCTCCGTGCCTCACAGGGGGCTGCCCCTTCTGACTGAGGGCGTTTCAGCCTGCAGCAAGATGCTGAACGGGCTCGGTCCTTCTGACATTCTCCACCCCGCCCCGCGTGCACGCTGGCTCATTGTTGCCTTCAGAAGACCCAGAAGAGCAGATTTTCCTTCTCCTCTTTTATAAAAACCCATGCTGGGGAGAGCATGAGATGCCAAAACTTTGTCGCCGCTGTTAATGGTACGTGCGGCTTCCTCGTACCTCTCACAGTGAACTCAGAGGACACGGGTCAGTGTTATTCGTGGCAAAGGAACTGTGTAGGTGACCTTCACTCACTTTGGGTAATTCGGTAGAGCTGCGCCAACGTTGCAGGTTTGGGTTCAGGAGCTGGGCGATGAGGGAGGGGTGCATTTGTGAGACCTGAGCCCCAAGCCTGCAGCAAATGCTCCAGTACCGAGTGACTCTGCTCAGCTGGGCCTGGGTCAGAAGGGAGAAGGGGTCACACATGGCCGGAAATGGGGAAGGGAGGGTCAGCAGCACCAGGTGGGTGTAGCCCCTGGGGGCGGGGCTCCAGGTGAGGCCTCCTGGTGGACTCGGTGGGAGGTCGGCGGGCTCAGTGCATCTCTGCCAGGAGCTCACAGGGCACCGGGGAGGGGGGCAGCTGGCAGGAATGGCAGCATCTGGTGTGGGGGGCACCCAGAGGGCTCTAATCTGGCAGGAGCCTGAGCAAAGGTGCTGTGCTGCTGGGTCCTGCGTGGAGGCTGGCGGAGTGCAGAGGGGCAGAGTGAGGCAGGCGGGTAGACTGGGGTCGGGGAGAGGGAATGTGGAGGCCTCGTGTGTCAGGTGGGGCACTTGGGCCATGGAGGTCCGGAGGGTGAACCGGCCCCAAGCTCTCCAGCCTGGTGGGCTGGGGGATAGGGAAGGGACACAGCTGGGAAGTGACTTTCAGGGGGTCATGATGGAGAAGCCTCGAGGCAACTCTGGGACTGTGTGGGGCCATGGCCTTGATCCTCCCCCAGTGTGTCAACAGCGCAGTCCCCCTTTCTGCACTCTCTTAAATGTTAAGACCCTGGGGAAGAGAGATTTTGCTTGCCTGAGGCAGGGCTCAGAGATCCTTTTCCTCCATGTGTCTAGGCCACAAGGGGTGTGAAGTGGGAGCTGAATGAGGCCCCAGGGGTGGTTCAGCCCCTCAGGTTGGATTCACAGGAAAGAGAAGAGAGGGGTCAGGGAACAAGGGGAGGTGTTCTCACCTGCTTGCAGGGCATTCTAGCCGAACCCCATGACCTGACTTAGAAGCCACCACCGTTCCTGGGGCCCACAGTTCGGCCGAGCAGCATGCCTGGGGAGTACATCACGGATGCCTGCTTGTCGGATGGGCTGCTGGGCGCGTCGTGAGCACCGCCACACAGCATGTCTCTCCGGACCTTCTGTGATGGCTCTAGCCTGCTCTGCACCTGCTCACCTGGCCCTTTACCCTGACTGGAATACACAGCTCTCTGACCCCGACCCCCAGTCACCTGGCGGGAGTCCTGTCTCCCTCCCAGGGAGGACTCTGGCTTGCCCAGAGCCCTTCCTGGGGCCACCCCTGTGTGTCTGTTAGCCAGGCCCGCCCCCACCTTTACTTAGGTCTCAGGGCAGTGCTCTGCGGGCTGTTGGTATTTAACAGGTGTTTGTCAGTTTGAACTGAATTCTGACACTTGCTTTTCCTCTTTTCAGATCAAACCAGTGGTACATTATGATATGAATGTGCCTTCCAGGTGGCAAACATTTCACCGTACATCCCGGCATGTTAAGTGAGTAAGGTCTTGTGGGTGAGAAATCACGACGGCTGTGGCTCCTAAAAGATAGTGTTCCAGCTAGACAGACTCACCGTGAACCTCTTCCTCCCCGTCCCCCCGACAGGGACACCTGTATGATTCAGCCTTCCAGGTGCTACATATCCTTTCTTCTCTTGAACCTTGATTTTGGAAAAGCAATCTGATTGCCTGCTGTCCAACAGTTCACATGGGGGTGGAAAGGCAAGGGCTTCACACACACAATTTAATCCTAGGCTCTTATTTATTTATTTTTAAAGATAGCCGTTGCAGCTGGTAGGTGTTGAAAGGAAACTTACGGGTTGTTTCCCTACCCTGAGCTCGTACTGGCCAAGACCCGTGGGACTGCCGCAGGATGGGGTTGGCAGGAGTCCCCACGCCCCCTGGAGCCACGGTGGATGCTAGGGGTCGAGGTGCCCAGGACAGTGTGTCTGGGATGAGACCACTCTCTGGGCCAGTCTGCCTTACGTTTGGGGTTGTAGAAAGCACACAGTTGACTCAAACCCATCATTGGCTCAAATCCCACCTTTCACCTTACTGTCTTTGTGACTGGCACACACCCCGTGTCTCTGAACTGGGTCCCCGCTTGTAAAACAGGACTCATGATACACACCGCACGTGTGCTGAGGGCTCCCTGGTGACGGGTCCAACGGGCCCGCCCAGTGCCGGTCACGGAGCAGGCACTCTGCAAATCCTTCTTGTACTGGATGTTACAGTATTTTATGATTAGAACCTCTGATGTGGAGATGGAGATAGTACCCTCCCTTTTGCCATGTTCTGCTCCCAGGGGACAGAATTTCAGTGAGTTTCTACAGAAGTGTGGGCTCTGCGTGTCCGAAAGGCGCTAGTGGGGACGTCCGGTCCTGGCCGTTGTCAGCATCTGCTGCATGCCTGACCCGGTGTCCTTCACGCGCGTGCCAACCAGCGAAGGGCTGGGGGCCATCAGGTGGAAAGCCCCTGCTGGACTCCTCAGAGCCCAGACTGTGGGGCAGAAGGATGCAGGAAACATGACCTGTTAGTAGCCAAACTTGGCCCCTTTCACATCTTTTCAGAACCTCGACAACCATTTCCGTAAAATACCTCTCCTTTCCATTGTGCCTTCTGTAAATCTGAGAGCGGTTTTGAAGCGTTGAGAGGCCTGGTATTTCCAAATTGTGTGAAAGACATCTGTTTCTGAAGAATGTATAGAAATCTCAGGGAACAGTACTGGCTTATGGATCCTTCTTGGCAAAGAAACATATCCCTAAAGCTACATTTTTTTTGACACGAGCCAAAACATCGGTGATTCTCACTTCTTTTGACGGACATTCTTTTTTTCTATTATGGACCATTTACACTTGCAGCATGTGCTCCATGCCTTAGATGTGTGCTAGAAATTCCACTAGATGGACCCAAATATCCATTCAAACGCAGCGTCTTTTCTACAAAGACCTGATCATGTTTGCTTGGAGACCTTGTAACTATAAAAACAAGCAAACAAAATAGCTGTGGCGGGTTCCAGGGTCTTCAATGTCCAGGGAGAAAGGGGTTTCTCCCTTCTCACAGATGGGGGAGCTGGGGTGGCAGGGAGCCGGGCTGGTGGGGTAGTGGGGGGTGGCTTGTTTGAGCACGCGCCGGATTCGGAGAGAGAGCCTGGTGCTCCCCTGACTGTCTGGACCTCCTCAGAATTGAGCTGGCCCAGACCACGTGCATTTGAAGTGTGGAGGCTGAGGCTCGGATTTATGTCCTGCTTCTGCCACTAAGTGAAGGAGCATCACGTGGGACCCATTGGGTCACTGTCATCACCGTCATCAGCCCCTGACTAAGGTCCATTCCTAGGTCCATGTGCTATTTCCTATTTTTAAAAAATTTAAAATATTTCCTATTTTAATAATTTAAAACATGTTCTATTTAAAGTGTTTCCTATTGAACTTTAATGAGCACCTTAGGGGGTGCATTGAATAGTAGTTTTATGCCTTTAACTTCTCTTACTTCAAAGTTAATTTAAAGAAATTAACTACTTTTTGTGGCCAGAGTAACCTATGCCCATGGTAAATAAATACATAGCTTTAAAAGGTATGCATTAAAAGTAAGCATTCCTCCCACTTTATGTCCCTAGATCTGTAGTGACTTCCCTGGAGTCAACCACTGCTAACCACTTCTGGAGGATCCTAATAGGACAGACTCACAGAAGCAAGCATATGGATCCTAGGGATCCTGTTGTGTCTCCTTTTTTTCACTGCACAGCGTATCTTGGAGATGGTTCCTTATGAGCACATATGGATAAGCTGTGCTGTAAAAAACTGGCTACATAGTTTTCCAAAATTCGGATATGCCCTAATCTAACCATGCTGGGCTTTGGCCGTGCATCCAGGGGCTCCTGCCCGCCCATAACCTCTCCCTCGAAACTGTTCTTGGGTATTCAGGTGGGGTCGGTTGGTCATCCAACTACCTGGAGTGTTGGGTAGCAGATAGACTGATGCTTGAATTGTGGCATAGCAAGAAGGTCTAGTTCATTCTTCAGCTCAACCAGCAAACGTTGGGAGATGTGTTAAGTCCAGCACACCCTCTGAACTTGTAAGTTCCTAATTTATAAATTGGAGATAACATTTCTTTCCTTTCTTTGTCTTTAAAAATTAAAATATTCATATGGGTAGTTTTTCCCATTTTTACATTCTTATTATAAATAAATGTGGGAATCTAGAACACTGTAAAGAATAAATCAAAATCCCTCATCCTACTTCTCAGGTCCTACTGGTAGCCTGAAGGACACTCACTTTTCGTGTTCTCTCCATACCTTCTGTTGTGTTTTTTTCCTCCCCCTGTAAATACAAATTCTGTATAAACAATTTTAAACTGCTGCATAACTTATTATTGTACAGCTGTGCCACAGTTTATTTAACCTTTTCTCAGTACCTGGATATATAGGATATATAGGTTCTTTTCATATTTTTGTTTCTATAAATAATCCTATGGGAAACGTCTTTATGTATGAATCTGTTTCATTTCCATGGGTTGGATTTCACCAGTCAGATTTCTTCAGTCTATGTGACCAGCTTGCCCCTGAGGGGAGCGTGACACTATTATCAACAGCTCCAGTGTGTATGTGTGTGTGTGTCGTAGTCTGCTGGCACTGCCACAGTTTCGGGGGGGGCCGACACAATTCAGTTCATAAGAGTGCCTATTTCCCCACACTCAGGACAAGAATGCATGTTAAGTATCTTTAAAAATTTAGACAAAAACACAGCATGACCTTGTCTATTTTTTTTAGTTTTTAAAGGTTTTATTTATTTATTTGACAGAGACACAGGGAGAGAGGGAACACAAGCAGGGGGGGTGGGAGAGGGAGAAGAAGGCTCCCCGCGGAGCAGGGAGCCTGATGCAGGGCTCGATCCCAGGACCCTGGGACCATGATGTGACCCGAAGGCAAACGCTTAATGACTGAGCCACCCAGGCAGGTGCCCAGCATGACCTTGTTTAAACGCTTCTCTTTTATTCCTAGTAATAATCTATGTTTGGAAAGACTTTTGGAAAACATTTAGGAAAACCAAGAGATGGAAACATTGTAGCAAGTCTTTATTGTAGGAGTGCTGTCACATAAATGCATTGTAATATAACTTGCACAGAACCTTTTGTAGGGTTTATTTTGGGGCAATATTTTACATATAGAAGAAGGTGATCTCTGCATGGATTGGAAGCCCCTTGCCACAGAGCATTGGGAGAGAAAACTGATTCTTTGTATTTTGCACAAACGAATTAAAGTTTCTATTTGCTCTGAAAGAAAAAGATGTATTCATCCAATTTTAAATTATTTACATTACAGGAAAAACAACAACAATAAAACAACAGTAACCATAAATAATAATGTAAAAAATTGAAAACTAGAATTGTAAAATTGAGCTCCTTAATGTTAAATACTATTTATTACTTTTAGACTTAACAGCAGGTGGCAGGGCCTCATTCACAGTAGAACTTTGCACCGAGTACTCTCCCCACGGCTGGCCCCCTGCCCGACACAGAAAAAAATAAAATAAACCCGCTGGGATCATGGTGAAGCTGCCTTAAGACTGCAAAAGTGAAATCAATGGTTTCTGTTATCTTTTTGGAAGATTGCACATTATTTCCTTTGGGACGCTATCTTGGCTCTGTGGGAAGGGAAAATAACTGCATTTTTAAGGGCAAAATTCTCCCTTTGTTTGCCAAATGGGCATAATTTTCTTCCATTTTACTCACCACAGTGGAAGCATATTATTTAAAAAGTGGAGTTGTGTCCTGTTCATCTGGGCATTTGATAGTCTACGAAACGATGTCTCCCTGCAGTATTGCTGTGTCACCAGGCTTTCAGCATTGAGCTGCTTGGTGACGGTTCTTGTGGGTCAGGCTGTGTGTGTGAGGGTTGCCTGGCGCATTGCATGCAGCTTATAGTTCTGGAATTAGAGGGCTCTCTTTGAATTTCCAATGTTTCCCCCTCAAGTGTAAGGCACTAATGAATGCTTTTTTTTTTTTTATTCTTACAGTGTTTTCACAAATGGAAGACTATTTATCCCACCTGTAAAAATTATCATACCCAAATTCAGTCTGACGGAATGGAATAGTGTGCTGGCCATGATTGGGGAGAAAGTCTTCCCTCTAGGAGGCGTGCGAAAGTAAGGCTCTGTCACCTGGGGGAGACCTGGTCACAGCGTGGGAATGTTCACCCTGGACCAGCAAGACCTCCAAACCTACATCATTAACTCTGATTTCAATTCTTTGGAACAGACAATATTTACTGTCTTTTTACCATACTTATTTTTATTTTTATTTATTTATTTATTTAAAAGATTTTATTTATTTATTAGAGATAGAGAGGGAACACAAGCAGGGGGAGGGGCAGGCAGAGGGAGAAGCAGACTCCCCACTGAGCAGGGAGTCCGATGCGGGGCTCGATCCCGGGATCCCGGGATCATGACCGAGCTGAAGGCAGACGCTCAACCGGCTGAGCCACCCAGGTGTCCCACCACACTTGCTTTTTTTTTTTTAAAGATTTTATTTATTTATTTGACAGAGAGACACAGCGAGAGAGGGAACACAAGCAGGGGGAGGGGGAGAGGGAGAAGCAGGCGGAGCAGGGAGCCCGATGTGGGGCTCGATTGCAGGACCCCAGGATCATGACCTGAGCCGAAGGCAGATGCTTAACGACTGAGCCACCCAGGCGCACCTCACCCCCGTACTTATTTTTAACCAATTTATTTCATTTTTCATTCAACACAGTTTATTGAACATCTGCCATGTGCTAGGTGTGCTGAATGGGTGAATGAGGACATGGGGATGGGGAGAGGCAGGGTGGCCATGGCTGGTTGTGGGAGTGAATCCCGAGGCAGGTGGGTGGACTTAGACCACGGGCCTGGTGTGGATCAGTGGACCACAAGGAGGGAGCTGTGGGAGCGGCCAGGCTAGCAGGCTGCAGAGAGAAAGGTTAAAGCTTCAATACTGGGAACACCGCTGGGGATGAGGAGGCCCAAAATCTTGCATGGGAGTGGGCTGAGAAAGCGTAGGGAAGACACAAACTTTCAGAGTTGAAAAGGCAGAGATGTGGAATGATGCTGAGTGTTGGAAGTATCATCTTTACGGACAGTGATGGTCCCCAGGTGGTAGGCATTGGGATAGAAGAGCCAAAACATTACTCCTGTTTCACTTGCTGGCAGTTATCTCTCTTGGGGGGTAAATTCAAATGTAAACGATTGATTTACCATCAACAATTGTGGCACCAATGATGAAGACTGAGCCTATCTTGTGAGCAAGACATCAGCTGTTGGGCATGTAGAGCCGCAGGGTAGTCGTTAACCTAGTTAGGGTGGTGAGTCACCACGTGACCCTACACGTGCCAGGGAAGTTAGAGGGTACCTAAAAGTCAGTACTGTGGTTGCCCAGATGATTGCAGAACGCAGTTATAAATATCAGTGTGTTACTCTCAAACAAAGAACACATCACCATGTGGGGCAGACTGACTTGTGTGTGCTTTTGGAAGGAGCCAGAAGCGGTGGTAGAATTAATCACACGTATCACATGTGAAATGGCAGAGGCGAAGCAGGCAAGGAAACAGGATGTTCGGTGGGAAAATAGGACATTAGATTAATAAGCTTTTAATTTTTTCTAATCAATCAGTCTAATCAACCAATTCTTTATGGTTGAGTTTAGAAAAGGTGCAGAGCTTAGGAATGAAAGAAATGCTTGGAAGTACAAAGGGTAATTTTATTTGGTCTCATCACTGCATGAAAAGAACACTTAACCTTCTGAGAACAGTCATTTTCAAAGAAACATACAAGCAACGAATCTCGTCCTTGCAAGCCTCCCGTTGCTGGAGGAAGACCTGAAGCTCTTTCAGTGTGTCTGGGACATTTGACTTGAGCTTTTCCAGGGCCCTTTTTCCCTCCAGCTCCGCCCCTGTTGAGAGCTCATTCCCTGCATCCACCTCCCTCCACCTGAGCTGTCAGCTCATGCATCTCCTTCCTTGTTTCTGCTGATGGAGCCAAGATTCTCCTGGGCCCCAGAATCAAACCCAGACTCCATCTCCTCCAGCTCCTTGGCCTGCCCCTCATCAACCCCGTCACAGTGCTTGTGATCCACAATTTGAATTTTGGATTATCCTGAGTAGGATTTCTTTGATCTAACTGTTTTTTAATGACAATCCAAACTGTGCCGAGGTGCGTGGTCACCCTGCTCCATGTGATGCCTCGTAGCGTCTCCTGGAGTTGCTTTTCCTTTCATTTAGCTCCTTCCTGTAGAGATGCTCTCAGTGTGAGTCGGTGTGACGGTATTTTAGCGGGCCTTTCTATTTCCATGAGGGTGTGGCTAGCTTCAAAGTTCGTTCCTTTCAGATTTTGAAAACATCACTTCCTTGTCTTGGGCTGTCGGTGCGGCTCTGACCCCTTTGCTCCCTGCTCCTCCAGGGAGAGCCCTTCCAGACGCTCGCGTGCCTTCCTGGATGTCTCCCTAATGTGCCCACGTACGAGTTTTCCAGTGGTCTCTCGTTTTTGATGCCTATTGACTCCATTTGAGGTCCTCCCTCTTTCTTTAATCCTGTGAAATTCATCTTCATTATTCCTATACATTTTTCTTCCTTTCTACATTTAAGTTTCTTTTTGAGATTCTTACTTTTGGGCTGTTGGCACGCCTCCTCATCCTCATTTCTTGGCTTTTCTCTTATACATGTTGTTTCTCATGCCGCTTGCCTCCGGGAGACGCCGTCAGTTTTGTCCTCCCAACAGCGGCTCAAGCCGTGTCTGCACCTCTTCTGCTGGGCGCCTCATCCCAGTGTTTTCTCCGTAATTCAGTATTCACATCCGTATTTCTGCTTGTTTCTTCTTTACACTTTCTTGTTGTTTCATATTTGTAACTTCTCCTCTTATTTCATTTACAGTATTTTTCATGTTTGTATTAAATTCTTGGTCCATCTGCTCCAACACTTCTGCTTCCGGGGTCTGCACCAAACACTCCGTGGTGGAGCCCTGATGGCCAGTGCCAGAGCAGGAGACGCCGTCCTCCAGCCCGCATGGCCCTGCTGGCCCTCGGTCGCATCTGCCTCCCTCCCCACCTTGCCTGCTGCTGGCCTCTGTGCCTCCCTGACTTACTCCTGGGGATGCTTGCACCAGCTGTTTGGGTCCTCCAGTGTGGTGACGCACCGAGTGTCCTGGGACAGGGGCCACGGCAGGAGAGGAACAGAGTTCCCAGCGTTGTGCTCCTTGTCACGGCCACCTGCTGCCCACGTGGCTCTCTGGGGTCTTCTCCTTGCGGTCACCTGTCTGGAAGGTCTTCTCGTTGCTCCAGGGCTAGTCTAAGGCGGCCGTTCTCATGGGGCTCCCAGAGCAGCGGTGGCAGAGGCGGGGTAAGCTGGACACTTGTTAGAGATGAGTGTTCCGGCCTCATCCTAGGCTCCTGGAACTGGAGGCCCTAAGGGCGGGGCCCGGCTGTCCGCGTGTCAGCAAGCCTTCCAGGCAGGTGGTTCTGGCGCTAAGGTTTGAGAAGGACTGATGGGGTGGGGGGGAGGCCGGTTTTGTGGCTTCGACCTCCTCAGCGTGCCCTTCTCGTCTTCCCAGTCTGGAGATCACTGCTCTGACTCCCGATCGCCTTGCACACCCTTGCTGTAGCAGCCCGAGCCTCCTGTTGCAGGCCAGGCTCCTTTCCTCCAGCAGCCGCATCGGCGTGACGCATCCACGACGGTCTGCTGACTGTTGCTGGCACCTAGCTCTTCTCTGCTCTCCCATGTCTCCCATCACTGTCGCAAACTCAATGATCAATTCCTCTCCCTAGAATATTCCAGGCTCCAGAATTCTCTGTGCAAGTTCTGTGTGTGCCTTTCCCCTTCAGTGACAAGTCAACCCCTGCTTTCTGGCCTTTGGCCCAGGCCCCTCCTGCTACCCCAGATGGCTTTACCCATCTTCCCATGAGGAAACCTCCCACCCTCCCCACCCCACGGCTTGCCCCCGCCTCTGTGAGGCCTACAGTTGAGTCCGGTTTTCCTCCTCTTGGAAGTCTGGATCTTTGCCCTGCCCTGGTCACATTTGTGTTTATAGGTTTAGGTACAAACCCTGACTTTGGGGGTAGCAGTAACTTCCTTACTCATAGTTATATCCGACACAGTGCCCACCTCGTCGTCCAGTGCATAAAGATCCTCAACATTGAGTGAATTGAATCATTTCTTACATGAATGAATGAGTGAATGAATACTTGCCAAAAAAGAGTACAGAATAAAAGCGAGACAAATATTAGTCTTTTGGTGCTTATAAAAAGGCATATTATTTGCTAATAAAACACTGGTCTGTTTTCCAGGTATTGTTATAACAATACAAGCCAATTTGTATTAATTTTTGCTGTTATTAAAATTAATTGAACACCAACAAAGAGCTTAAAATGTTCTCAAGGGCCTCTGAATACTTGTACATAATTAAAAATATACTTTAATTAAGAAACCTAAAAATGGAAAACAAGCCTAACTTTGGAAGGGCAGCTCCCATGCGGTTTAATTAGCCCATTTGGATTACGCTTTCCTACACTTTCAGTGCTTGCCAGTAGCCCACATTCCGGTCATATTGTCTGCAGAAATGCCCCCAGCCCTGAGGTCACTGCTTGAAGTCTCCGGCCACTTCTTCTTGCTCTGTTCACAGATTATTTACCATGAATGGGCATCTCTTGGACAACTCAAAGGATCTGCAAGACAACCACTTCTATGTTGCTGCAGGACTGGAGACCTTCAAATATTTCCCTTACTGGAAATCCTCCAAGGTGCCCAGTGAGGTCCAACAGTGAGCACATTTCTTACCTTTCCCTCCTGAGTTGGTAGAGTTTGCCTTTTTCCCCAGTATCGCCCCCAAGTACAGCCTGTTCAGCTCCTGGCTGTTTTTCTGGAGTGAAACTTGATATTCTCATTTGATATAGGACACAGTTTTGGATTTTCACAGTGAGGCATGAGAACCCCTGTTGTGTGACGATGTCACAAGGACAGTGAGCCCTTGTGTTGAGCGAACTGCCAGTGGGGGGACACTGGGAGTCTCAGACAGAAAGAGCCTCAGCCTGCAAAACACATTGGCCCCGGGACACAGTCGTGGTAGCCCAGCCTCCATCCAGCACCTCGTTCTGTTTTTTTTCCTTCGGCCGGCTTCCCCTGACTGTCTATGTGTCCTGGACTCCGGAGTTGGTGTGGGGTGGCGGGCCCTACTGATGAAACCAGTGGTGATGGTTATGGTGGATCCTGGCCCAGGCTAACGGGGTGCACCACGGTGTGTGTGTTTGTGGACTTGCGGGAATGTCTACAAGGAAGACAAAAGCATTGGTGGGGTCTCCCCTCCTGTCACCAGAGAACTAGAAGGTTGGCTGTCCCTTCCTGGGGCAGTTTGCTCACTCCCCTGCTTGCCATCTGAATTTGGCCAAGTTCTTGTGATTAGTGCATAATGTTCTCCTGTGGGCTCCTGCCTGAGGGATGCCGAGTGGCTTTACTGTGAAGAACAGCCCAGTGTTGGGCCCTGACCTGCTTGCCCAGAGTCCTGCACGGGAGCTCACATAGACAGGTGTGGACTCTGTCCATCTGCAGTTCTCACCATTCAAGGACCTTGAAGTCTCCTGATGTGGTGGTCTGACTTATGTTCCCAGGGCACAGTTGCACTTGATGCTTCCTTGAGAGACTTTGGTGGTTATTAGTCTGGAGCCCTCAGTGGCTGCAGCTCCTGCTGGGCTCAGGTGTGTCCATACTGGGTGTCCAGGCTCAGTGGTGGGTCAGGCTCAGGAAGGAGGTGACCTGCAAGACTGTGGAGTTCAGCAGTATCCAAATCCTTGATTTTTGTCCCAGATTAAAGCCCCGGTATTAGGGCAGAGTCTGATTTCTTTGCCTCTGGGTCCTGTGGGATGACAGGGTGGGGCGTGGGATGGCAGGCCGAAGGCCTCGGATATGCCTGCCAGCAGACCATGAGCCCCGGGGGACTGTGCCCTGCCAGCCATGCCCTTTGTCACCTGCCCTGGAAGGCGGGGCTCTGCTCCTCCCTATTTTGGTACCTGGGTGTCAGGCGCCTCCCTGCAATGTTCATGTAGCCCTCCTTCCAGGAGGCTGTGGGACGCGGTGTGTGACTCGGGCACCCAATCCCCGTTCCTGCACCGAGGGAGCTCCTGATTTCCAGGGCTGGCTGGGAGGAGCGGTTTCCTGCTGAAGGTGGGATTTTGCAGCCTTGACTGCTCAGCCCCAAGGCTGTGTTTGAACTACGTGCAGTGGCGGCAACTGTTTGAGGGCCTGTCAGGGACCTTACCTGCAGCTGCTTCTCCGTCATGTCTCTCATGGTCATTATCTTGAGCAAAGAAAAAGAGGTGTGAGTGTTCATCTTGTGGTGGAGCAGGCAGATGGTTTCACCCGCATGCACCCCGTAAGTTCCCTGGCCCAGAGCCTGGGAAGCTGAGACACATCCCAGGAGGTGTCTGTTTGCACTCACCTGCTGTTAGGGTTTCTACTTTGAGGCAGAGAATGGCTTCTTTTGTCCTGTCCATAGGCAGTGACCCCACAGCCAATGGTTAGGTTGGGGTCCTGCCACATGCCTGGCAAGAAGGGCTATTTCCTGATTTTATCCACTTGCTAAGTCATTGCTGATGGTGCTAACTGCATGGTGGGTAGAAATACCTTAGGGGCTGTTGAGCTGAGATGCACGGCCCTCTCTGTTCCTGTGTCCCCTGCTCCCCACAGGAGCCCCCCGGCTCTCCTCCCCCTGCTCTCCATGTGTTTTGTTTTTCCTTGTCACCTGTTCATGTGTTGAACCCTGAACCGGTCTATTGGTTGCTTAAATATCTTTCTCCCTCACCAAAGAGGAAACGAGTCCGCAGAGTAGCTAAGAGACTGAAGTCTGTCCCCCACCCACGACGTGGACCCGGGAGGTGCCCTTCTGCTGGAGAGTGGGGTGCCAGAGCGTTCCTTCCCGTGTGTAGCACTGGCAGTGGTCAGCCCCCATACAGAAGAATTAGGAGCAGGATGTGTACCCCAGGCCATGTCAGAGCGAAAGGTGGCAGTTAGACAAGGGGTCTGTCAGTGGTGGGAGGAGGCTGGGCTGGGTTTTGGATGGGCTTGGAGTCTCTGTTCTTCCACTGGTCAGGGTGTGGCATTGACTGAACCCTCATGTCCCTGAGCCATGCTTCCTCTCCGGCCCACGGAGAGCATGACGCGTGTGCCACGGGTCCCTGTGAGAGTTGCATGAAAAACCCATGTGTGTGTGAGTGACTGTCAACTGCCTGAAACCTCAAACTTGTTAGGATGTCCCCCCATGACCGTATACAAGCTTCAGGGCAGAAGGTGCCTGTAAACATGGTGCCACTCACCCTGATAGAAATGGAAAGCCATCGGATTTTCTGAAGTCTTGAGGAAGGAGACTGAGCCGACCTCAGTGGGGGCCCCTTCTGTTCTGAGGCGGGGAAATGCCGTTGATGTGAGCTCGTGATGATGGGGGGACTGGATGCGCCTTCAGCAAGGCCTTGCCCTCCTGAAAGCCAAGGCTGCAGCCTACAATTTTAGAAAGATATTTTCTGCCTGGCTTTTACAGATTTATAGCTGACTATCTTTTGTCTTTCAGAAAGTATGCAGACATCGAGAAATACTCACGAAGAAAGAAAAAGGTGAGTCCTTTTGGGGGTGCCTGGGTGGCTCTGTTGGTTGGGCGTCTGACTCTTGATTTCGGCTCAGGTCATGGTCTCAGGGTCTTGGGATCGAGCCCCATGTTGGGCTCCGTGCTGAGTGTGGAATCTGCCTGGGATTCTCTCTCTCCCTCTGCCCCTGACCGCTCACGCGCTCTCTCTCTCTCTAAAAAAAAACCAAGTAGGTCCTTTTCACACAGTAAAGATGAGAACTGTGCTTGGGGACATGTGACAAGGACGCCCCCCAGGCCAGCCCCAGCAGTGGGGCCCGGAGCTTCCGGGCCCAGTGTTGGTGCCAGGCTTCCTGCTGTGTGTGCAGCCACGAGACATGGAGCTCAGAGCGTAGGGACAGACAGGAGGGAGAGTGGCCAAGCCTGATGTGGCCGCCCTGGGCCTGGGGGCAGCAGGGAGGCGGTATGTCAGGCGTAGAGGTGAGAAGCGCTCACTGTGTGTGCGCTTATCTGCATGTAGTGTGACATAGACAGCACGAGAAGAGCAGCCAGCGAGTGTCAGGATACAAGCCTGGGAAGGCAGGCAGAAGCCAGTTCTTGGCGGCCATACGGGTCCTTACCACCCGTGTGTGTGATGACCACATACCCCCACCCATCTTATAAAAACACTATTTCAGTGTCTCCCTGACATTACTATTCATTCAGTAAAGCTGTTGAGCACCTACTCTCTGCATGTCTCCAGCCTTCAGCCCCTTTGCTCAGGCACCTCCCTCCGGAGGCTCATCAGCCGCGAGGTCCCCCACGTAGTGACCTATTCTTTCCCAACATCTCACGGCCAGCCCTCGACATGGCTTTTCTCCTGGTGCAGTTCAGATTTCATAACCGCCATCTTAGTCACTGTCTTGGAAATACTTTGGCTTCCTTACCCTCTGAACCACCCTGGTATTTGCCTGGCAAGAGTCCAGCCTTGGATGAGCCCAGCCCCTTGCCTGTCCATACTTGCGCTGAAGGAGCTCAGTGTCGCTGGAGGTAATGACACAGCCGACCTGACTCTTTGCCCTGAGTTCACGACTGCAGTCCTCACCCTCCCGCCTTCGCTGAAAAAGGCCTTCTGCCAAAAAATGCTCTTCGGAATACACTTTGCTCAATTTTGTGAGGGATTTTTGCATGTCTATTCATAAATGAGATCCGTCTCCAATGCTGCTTCTTCATGTGGTCCTTGTCTGGCTTTGGTGTCAAGGCTTTTCTGAATTGACTCTGGTTATTTTGATGGCTTCCTGAGCTAAATGATCATCTTATTTATTTTTGGTTTTCTTTCTCTGTGGCTTGCCTTCAGTATTAAGTGTTTGTTGGGTGAATGAGTGAATGAGAATCGTCGAGAATGCAGAACCAATAGACACGATTCTGCCCTAAGGATGAGCTTCATCGCGTGCGGTTGGACAACACAGACTTGTTTCATGATAAAACGTTTGTGTGAATGAGTCTCATGCATAGGGTGATGGTTTGCAGGAAAGGGTAATCAACACATGGAGATCTGCAAATGGGGCACAAGTCCTAACGTGGCACAGAGAAGGGGGCAGATGTTCCAGGTGGAGAAGGAGCCGACATGGATGTACAGAGTTTTCTCAGCTGTGGGCTCTGAGTTTGAACGTTGAAACTTAGCCTGAGTGGTACAACCTTGGAATCCCATACTTTAATGGTGTGGGAAGCCTCTGAGCACAGAGAACAGAGCCAGGAGTTCGAGGTTGTTTTGTTATGTCCTCACTTCATTATGTTGTTCTGACTCTGGATCCTGATAGGTAGGGATAGTGTTTTCTTTTCCTTTTATTAAATATTTGTTCTATTTGGTCTAAAATTTGGCACACGTTTGTTCTGATATCGCCTATAGTTCTTTCTCTTCTCTTTTGGAAAGCGATCACTGGGAAAGTTAATGGGTTTTAAGGATGATATGTAACATTAAGAACTTTGAGTGGAATCATCACAAACATGCATACCCTGCAATGCAAATAAAAAGTGTTATTTTAGAAAAAACAAATCTATCATTGAAAATATTCCATGATGTATGACCAGGCATGTAACAACAGAGCAAACACATTTTTTCCCCAGAAAAAACAGGAATTCCTAAAAGAATACAACAGGCATTGATTTTAACAAAGTTTGATGTAAAATCTCTGCGTTTGTGGTACTAATGCCTGTCAAGGTATTTTACTGTATTCTTGCTCCCTGTGTGGAGGTCTACATGGTATGTTGACCTGAGAATTCAGTACTTACAAACCTTTGCCCCATGTGAGGAACAGGTGCATTTTTGAGGATGAAAACTACCCCAGGCTTCTCTGGCTGCATGAGCCTGGGTTTTATTTTATTTTATTTTGTTTCGTTTTGTTTTGTTTTATTTTATTTTATTTTATTTTTTGAGGCTGGGTTTTAGAGTTAGTCACAGCAACCATATTATGGTAAGTACAATTGCTTCTTTTTGTGTGTGTGCTAGGCTTTCCACGTCTCTCTTACTAAACTTCCTTGATTTGTTTTCTGTGGGAAGTGGGGTGCCTCCTACGTAGATGGCCTCTGACCACTGCTGTTGGTGGTCATGTGTGGTTTCGCTGTCATCACGGCGAGCCTGTCTCTTCAGCTGAGGCATGTGCATGGTTGGCACTACACGTGTTGAGTGTCGTTGCTGCAAATGTCATCAAGATGATGTTGATACGATTCAGAATCGAAGTGAAAAATTATTGTATTCCCAGAAAGGTACAAAGAACAGCAATTTTATGCTAGTGGAGTACATTCTTCTTTACTTCTTTATATTTTTCCAAAGGAACAACCAACTCTTTTATGGGACCTGAGAAAGGAAGTTACCATGTACAGCTGAAGATACAGGCTCAGTAATCTATTACAGTGTAATGAGCCATGCCCTAGGGGATTAACACAGCGATGTTTTATTATTTCTCTAAGTCCTGTGTGTTGGCTGGGTGGGTCTTGGGCCAGTTGCACCAGGCTTCCTTACAGGCTGTGTTACCTGCAGGGGTTGCTAGGCTGCAAGGTCTAGGCTGGCTTTAGGAGCACATCTGGATGTTGGTGCTGGTCATCGTTCCCATGGTTGCAAGGTTCTGGGAGGTAGAGAAATAGACCCTCCCTTAGTGGAGGCATGCAGCCAAGGTATGCAGACGTCATCTGCATCCAGAGAGGGGGTTTGGTGGCCAGGAGGCACTCTGCCACATTCGTCCACCACATCTTGTTACTGAGGCAGATGCAGAAGGCTTGCTTCCCATGCTCCAGGCAAGAAAGGACCAGCCTCGAAATGTGCCGAGCAGCTTAGAAGAAAATTCCAGAGATCATAGTGGTGCACTCTGTCCACACTGCCTGGCAAAGCACAGACATACTCAGCTCCAACGTGGAAATGGCTCAGAAGAGCCCGACTCTGGGTGTAGAATCTTGAGAGGAGTCGAGCAATTTATTTCTGTGGCCTTGTCCTCTTGCTTTATATCCAGATGTGCTATGTGATAAAAATCTATGTCTAAAAGTTCTGAAAGGGCTGTTTCAGTAGAAAACAGAACTTCCAGGTAACAGAGAAGCCATGTGACATAGTTTAGCTGGTAGTTTGCTTTGTTTCTTAGCGACACGTAAAATAACCACGTGTCTTATGATTCATGGCATTTGATTCCATGAAATGAGAAGAAACATAATGGCCAGGAGCACAGGTGTCTGGGTGACTGTGGATGTGGGAACGTGGGAGAAGCCGTTGGGGCTCCAGGTGTCCATTAACTTGAGCCATGACTGTTGAGTCCTAGGAAATTAACTGAGTGAACCTATTCTTTTTTTTTAAATTTTTTATTGTTATGTTAATCACCATACATTACATCATTAGTTTTTGATGTAGTGTTCCATGATTCATTGTTTGTGCATAACACCCAGTGCTCCACGCAGAACGTGCCCTCTTTAATACCCATCACCATGCCAACCCATCCCCCTACCCCCCTCCCCTCCAGAACCCTCTGTTTGTTTTTCAGAGTCCATCGTCTCTCATGGTTTGTCTCCCCCTCCGATTTCCCCCCCGTCATTCTTCCCCTCCTGCTATCTTCTTCTTCTTCTTTTTTTTTCTTAACATATATTGCATTATTTGTTTCAGAGGTACAGATCTGTGATTCAACAGTCTTGCACAATTCACGGCGCTCACCATAGCACATACCCTCCCCAATGTCTATCACCCAGCCACCCCATCCCTCCCACCCCCCCCCTCTCCAGCAACCCTCAGTTTGTTTCCTGAGATTAAGAATTCCTCATATCAGTGAGGTCATATGATACATGTCTTTCTCTGATTGACTTATCTGAGTGAACCTATTCTTATTTCGTTAGATCAGATTCAGTTTTCAGCAACTCATTTACCGTGATTTTGGATCTATTACTTTCCAAGGAAGTGAGACTAATTTAATAAATGTTTAAAACTGCTTTCCTATATTAAAATGAATATTTTAATGTGCAAGCCTCTGTAAAATATCAGTAAATAATTAATAAGCATTGTATTTATATCACATCCACAACCAGAATGTTAATATTACCTACTTCTCTTTTGGGCATAGAGCGCAAATGTTGGTAGTGAACAGAAATGAACAGGAGATAAAACACTGACAAATTAAAGGTGCCTGTGTGTGCGTGTGTGCACACGGGTGTGAAACAGTCAGAGAGATGCACACCACGGGACACCCACACTTTAATGACCAGGACTGAACTGTAAAGTGCAGCGTGGAGCAAGTGTGTGGGAGCTGACACTTGCAGGCTAATAATGTCAAGACCGTAGCAGTATCACACAACATTCAAGGCTGCATTTGTGTCTCCTAGTGGCCTGAAGAGGCAACAGTCAGGTTCAAATGTCAGCTAATGTTCCACTTTATTAATGCTTGGCATAGGGGCTGGTTCTCTGATGGCGGACCCTGACCCACTTGGAAGCAGGACATTCACTCCGGAAGCTGGTGGGAGGCCTTCAGCGTGCAGCGCTGCCTTTCCTCCTGGGAGTGGCCTGACTCTGAACTCAGCTAGGTGGTTGCTGTTCCTCCACTAGACAAACTCTCTACTTCATCCACATTACCTTGGGGGGCTGCCTTTCATGTGCCTGAGCAAGACTATCTGTTATAACAGCACTGAAGTTCGGCTAGGTCGAATGAAATAGGCTCCAGAGAAAAATGATAGTCCCTACAGCACTGCAGAGAAATGAACACAGTGTGCCTTGGGTATGTTTCCTGAGAATGTTTTTAATGGGGGAAAAGATTAATGAAATGGAAAAGCAGCACCTGACACCTTTGTAGGGCACTCGTGTTGATTTCAGACTCAGGACTCAGAGCAGGGAGGAGTGGGGACAGCGGTGATGCCTAGACGTTTCCTTGCGTGGGGAAGCCACAGATTCTCTGTTTTCCTGCTCAATCTGTTGTTTCTGAGAAATGCTGTAAATCTGTGTTGCTCTGACAATGAGAGGCATGCAGAGTGTCCACTGCATGGCAGACGTGTGTGTAAAGCTGAAGGTGGCCCCTTCCTGTCCTTGGAGAGTGCAGGCCAGTGGGGAGCTGGTGGGCAGAAGCTGCAGGTGCATGACCGTGGGGCTGGGAGTGTGGACAAGGGCTCCTCTGCATGGGACATGGTGACATTAGAGCAGGACCAGCACCTGAGGAGGTGGCGGCTCTGGAGAAACACCTGGGGTGTCCCTGGCAGGTTGGGACAGCAGGGCGTGTAGAGGTCGCCTCACGGGTGTGGGAAGGAAGGCTGGGCCAATGGTGTAGCCGACCCTGCACCTCCCATACCCTGCACTCTGGCAACCCTTCCCCTGTCTTTCTTTTTAAAGGTTCCATTTATTCATTTGAGAGAGAGAGCCCATGAGCATGGGGGAGAGGCAGAGGCAGAGGGAGAAGCAGGCTTCCTGTTGAACAGGGAGCCTGACGCGGGGCTCAATCCCAGGACCCTGGGATCATGACCTGAGCTGAAGGCAGATGCTTAACCCACTGAGCCACCCAGGCCCCCCAGCCTTTCCCCTGTCTTTGTCCTATTCTTTTTTTCTACTTACCCCTACATCTTCTTACTTAGTTCAAGAGATCAGCAAAGATTTACTAAGCAACTGTTGGGATTACTTCATTGGGCATGTGTCTGTGTTGGGAGGTCACTGTTTGCTTGGAACCAGGAATGCAAAGGGCAGGGGCTGTGTTCTGGTGATGACATGCAGGTGTTCCAGGAATGTGGCACAGGGACTCTAAGCTCGGCTTGCACTGGGATTGGAAGCCAGGGAGGAAGGGCATCGCAGGTGGAGATGAGCCAGAAGATGGGCAAAGCCTGAGCAGGGAATAGACTGGGAATGTAGGCGGGCTTAGACTCAAAGGTCACAGCACTGAGCTGAGGCACTTGAACACCATCCTCAAGTTGTGACAGCTCCTGTGAGCATCTGAAAGGCACAGGGGTATGAGATTCATACCAGCACCGTTCACTTACTCACTGGGCAAGTATATACGGAGAGCTTTCTATGTGCCACCTGGCTCCAGGCTCTGGGAATTCATCATTAGACAAACATCTCTGGCCCCATGGAGCTTCCAGCATTCTAGTGGTGAGATGTAAGCAATAACCATTCTAAATAAGTCACCACACATGGAGGTTGCCCTCAGTGCTGGGGGTACAGGATGAAGGGGAAGAAGGGAAATGGGTGTGCAGGTGGACAAGGTCAGGCTGTCCTTGTGGAGACAGATGGCCCCAAACCAGGGCTCGGGCTCAGACTGACGAGAAGCCAAACCAGCGCGGCTCTGGGTTTCACTGGATGTCATAGAAATAAGGAGCTTCGTGTTCCCATCAGGTACATTGGTAAGGTATGAGATTAAACAATGAAATCAATTTATTGAACTTATGAGCGCTCTTCATCTGTCATCTCACCAGCCCAAAGCTCTGCGTGGGCCCCCTTCCAGGTCAGTGTGGACCAGCTCATCTCTTCATGTCGCTGCGCCTGGGGTGGTGGGGCTGGTGGCCGGTGGCCAGGCTGCAACGGTCTTGGCTTTCTCTGTGTGCTTTGCTCTGCACCAGTGTTGCTTTGTGTCCTTGTGAGAGGGCGGGACTCTTCCTGTGTGACTGTCCTTCAGGTATTACTTCAGAGGTAACAGTAAATACAGGGTGTCTTGTTGTAGAGGCTGAGGATTGGGAAAATGGTTGCAAAATAGATGAATCCCTACCCCCAGCTGCCTCCAAAACCCAAGCAGCGTGCACTGTGTTCTGTTTCTAAGACCAGTTCTGCCAAGATCTTGTTTCCTATACATATGAGCATGATTTCAACTTTTAGGAAAGCCTGTTAAAGTAGGTAGAAAGATTTTGCTTGGTTCTTGTATTTGGTCACGGGACTATTTTATGCACTTTAATTTCTGCAAGAATAAAACAGCCAGTTGTTTGCCTCATAAATATATTGATGTTATAGGGAGGTGCCATAGAGAGCTCAGGAGAAATCTTGATTTATATAGTTCTGCCTGTGTTCAGTAAAGACAGAAAACAGGAAAACTGGAAAGGTGGTTTGTATTATGAAGACAGTTTTTGGGACGGAGGTGGGATGATGCTCAGAATTAGCTCATCTTCCACTGTGATCCCCTCCTGCTCGGTCATTACTGTCTGCAGATTTTTTTTTAGACCATCTGAGTTTCCCTTTATCTCAGTCCAAAACAAACCTACCACATGTTTAATATCCTTTTATCAGAGATGCTGTGTCTTGCTCAGAGGTTCCAGTGGGAATAGTTTGGTAGGTGTTGAAAACAGTGATTTTTGGGGTGCCTGGGTGGCTCAGTCCTTAAGTGTCTGCCTTTGGCTCAGGTCATGGTCCCAGGGTCCTGGGATTCAGCCCCTCACCGGGCTCCCTGCTCATCGGGAAGCCTGCTTCTCCCTCTCCCACTTCCCCTGCTTGTGTTCCCTCTCTCGCTGTGTCTCTCTCTGTCAAATAAATAAATAAAATCTTAAAAAAAAAAAAAAAACTCTTGGTACACTGCTGTTCCTCACATACTTTTTATTCTTAATTTGTACCTTAGGAGCATTCCAAAGGAAAAGAACCTCATAAATACGACAACATTCCCCATAAGGAACAGGATTCTGTTTTTTATGCCAAAGAGGGAAAGAAGAAAACACTAGAAGAACCTTTAATGCAAAGCAGCGCAGGTAATGTGAATTTCATTTGGCTGTGGGCATTAAAAAGTGCTACCATTTGAAGAATGTGTGTGTGTGTGTGTGTGTGTGTGTGTTTTTCCGGGCCAGTTTCATACTGCAAAGATACGGCTTGTAACTGTCTGATTTTAAAACTTCACTTGTGACGATCTGATTTATTAATGAGACATTCACCTCCAGGGGTCATGGTAGTGAAAGGAGAAACAAAATCCCAGTGGCGAAGGCTATAGGCTTCTCCACCGAGGAAGCCCTCCCAGATCGATGCAGGAATTCTATCCTCTCTGTGAACATCTGGGTGGGCGTGCTCTCCCCTAAGGCCAGTGATGCAGCAAACAACCTGCGAACAAATCAGCCTTTGGAAGAAAACATGAAACTCAAATCCACCTGAATTGTTTGGGTTTACTTTTTTTTTTAATAGTGAAATCAATTTATTGAACTTATGAGCGCTCTTCA